CTAAGGTGCGATATATGATCTGAATCTCGAGAGCCATCCCGCTCACATAACACCATCGCTATGTGGAACCTCAACCCATATGAAATTTATCAAGCCGTTTCATAACTCACACCGCACAATATAGTTATTACATGAAATAGCTGACGACGAAATAACATCCAATGTCCGAATGCTCTTCCATAAGGAGCGTTATGCTGAAATGAACACATCCGACCTGACATAGAGCCCACATTCACATTTAAATCCATCCACATACCTCAAGCCAATTCTTATTGCACCGTACTAGGCTAATAACCTTTCAAGGATCCATAATAACCCTTTTTCCCATAACACACGAGAACAACCATCGTAACCGGAACAAATTTCCACAGTCCACAACCAAATGAACCGAGCGCCCTCCAGGCATAAATTCTCACATGAACAATAGTACCGCAATCCCCATACTTGGCTCTAATCTTCGATCAATCAAGTGACTACATGTCACACTTATACAATCTCCCCGTGGGACGTGCTCCCACGACCTTCTGCACCAGATAACAAGTTTGCACATCCATACCACAGTCCTCCATTTCGCGATCGCGATGCATACTCGATACACCAGAAACCATCAATCATAAAACTAAGGAAAATGGTCCGAGAACATCCCGAAACACACCCGAGGCCCTCAGGACCCCGTCTAATCACACCAACCTATCCCATAACATAACATGGACCTGCTCGAAACCTCAAATCACATCAAACAACATCGAATTCATGAATCACACCCCATTCCAAGCTTAATGAACTTTAAAATTTCAAACTTCTACATTCGATGTCGAAACCTATCAAATCACGTTCGATTGATCTCATATTTTACACACAAGTCACATTTGACATTACAGACCTACTCCAACTTCTGGAATCGGATTCCGACCCCGATATCAAAGTGTCCACTTTCGGTCAAACTTCTCAAAAACCTTTAAATTTTTACCTTTAACCAAATGACTCCAAAATGACCTACAGACCTCCGAATCCACTTTCGGACGCGCTCCCAATAACAGAATCACCATACGGAGCTATTCTCAGACTTGATATCCCAAACGGACATTGATAACATCGAAATGCACTTCAACCCAAATTTATGAAATTCTTCCAAAATGCCAACTTCCACCATAGATGCCGAAACGCTCCCGGGTCATCCAAAACCAGATCCGGACATACGCCCAATTCTGAATTCATCATATAAACCTGTTGAAACCTTTAAATCCTGATTCAGAGATTGTTTACTTAAAAATCCAACCTTAGTCAATTCTTCCAACTTAAAGCTTTCGAAATGAGAATTTTCTTTTCAAATCAATTTTGAACTTCTGAAATTTCAATTTCGACCATGCATACAAGTCATAATACCTGAATTAAAGTTGCGCATGGCCTCAAACTGCTGAAGGACGTGCTAGAGCTCAAAACGATCGGTCGGGATGTTACAGATCATATGTGATGAAAGCCAAAAAATAGTAGCAGCTTCAGCATGATTATTAGGTGCAAATCCAACTAATGTTCCTGGATAGTATGATGTGGCTATGTACTGAAGAACATGTGAAAATCAAAGGTTTAATCAGAAAGTAAAGAAGAACTACAATGTTCAATATGAGTTTTGCAAACTCAGAGGTCATAGCAAAGAAAGTTGTTACAAAATTGTGGGGTATCCCACAAATTTTAAACTTCGGAAGAAACGGGGAGTTGGGAACTATATTGCTCATAAAACACAGACTGAATCAGCAGCTTAGAACAATTAATACACAGGAAACACAAGGTTCAATAATGTAGCTGCCTGTAATGTTCTAAATGAAGATAATTTGCAGAACAATTAGACTACAAGAAATGCATTTGGCCAGTTCACTGGATCAATAGATACTGTAAACCAATCAATGGGGCAGAACATGAGTAATCAACTTAACATGCAAGGTCAGCTGACCAGTTGCACCTTTACTAAAGAGCAGTATAAGTAGATCTTCCATATGCTAAACAACAATGTTGGGCCAACTTTTAATGCCAATGTAGCAGGTACATCTAAGTATTTTAAAGACTGGATAATAGACACTGGGGCTACCAACCATATGGTAGCAGATATGTACTTGTTGGACAAGTCTACTATAGTTCAAACTCAGTATCCAAAAAGAGTGTTTATGCCTAATGGAGGTGTGACACATGTTACACACACGAAAGCTAGTACCTTAGCAAGTAGAAACACAATAACTAATGTGTTTTACATTTCTCAATTCAAATTCAATCTACTCTTAGTTTCTAAATTGACAAAAGAGTTGAGATGCTTAGTAGCCTTCTTCCCTGATTTTTGTATTTTTCAAGAGCTCTTCACTGGGAAGGTGAAAGCGATTAGTAAGGAAGATCATGGTCTATATATACTAAGAAGTCAAGCAGCGGGAAACATAAGTGAAGTTACTCTTACAACTATTGAAAGTTCAGCCAGTTATGATTTCAGCTCAGCAGGGGATATAGATTTGTGGCACAAGAGATTTGGACATGTATCAACAAATGTACTTAGGAAGTTACTACCTATTAAACTAGAGCTTATAGCAGAAAAAGTGAATAAGTGTGCTGTATGCCAATGTGCAATGCAAACAAGGCAAACTTTTCATACTAGTTGCATTAAAATTACTTCTTCATTTGATTTGGTTCATGTAGATCTTTGGGGACCATATAAAGTAGCTACGTTTGATGGTAACAAGTATTTTTTAACAATGGTGGATGACTTTTCCAGAACAACATGGCTATTTTTGCTCAAACTTAAGTCTGATGTCTGCATTATTCTTCAACAGTTCATAATGCTAGTAAGGACTCAATTTAACAAAACAATTAAAGTCATCAGAACTGACAATGGCACTGAGTTTGTCAATACAACCTGCAACAATATGTTCAATAATCTTGGGATAATCCATCAGACAACCTGTGCTTACACACCACAATAGAATGGTGTGGCTGAAAGAAAGTACAGATATATTTTAGAAGTCACACGAGCAATTGGATTTTAGGGACACATACCTATAAGGTTTTGGGGATACTGTGTATTAGCTGCAACCTATCTGATTAATAGAATGTCAAGTTGTGTACGAGCAAACAAGTCTCCATATGAGAAATTGTATGGGAAGAAACCTTCATTAAAATATCTTAAAGTACTAAGCTGCTTATGCTACGCAAAAATAGTTCAAGAACAAGATAAACTGATGCCCAGGTCTAAGGCAGCCATTCATATGGGTTATACAACTTCTCAAAAGGGATATCTACTGTATGACATTAACAACAAGACCTTCTTTGTCAACAGAGATGTTATCTTCAAAGAAGATATTTTTCCATTCAAAACTCTCAATCAAACCAAAGTTCAGCCTATTTTCATGCCTAATAGAATTCAACAAATATCAGATGAACCAGTCAACCAGTTCACTACTGAAGTTATTGAACCAAGTCATAATGACATTCAAACAAATGAAGTTGGTGATTTCCACAATGGTACAAAAGATTTAAATCAACAAAGCCCAAACTTATCAGCTGATAAGATACAATATACTACCTCTGAAGCATTACAACAGAATAGAATATTTGATGTAGCAACTGAAACCTTACCTTCAAATACTATTCAAGTTCAATTATCTAGTCAACAAAATTCTACTCTGTCAACAGAAGAGACTTTGAAGAAATCAAATAGAGACAAAAGACCACCACTTTGGATGAAAGACTTTGTGTCTTTAAACATTCATCAGGAGTCTCCCTATGCCTTATCTAAATTCATAACATATGAAAACATTTCTCCTACCTATCAATCCTTTATTGCTGCATCTTCTTCTGTATCTTAACCTGTAAACTACCATAAGGCTATCAAAGATCCTATATGGATAGATGCCATGAAGGCTGAGATTGAAGCCTTAGAAAACAATCACACTTGGGATATAGTTCCACTACCTGAAGGTAAATCACCTATAGGATGCAAGTGGATTTACAAAATAAAGTATAAAGCTACAGGGGAAATTGAAAGATTAAAACTAGGTTGGTCGCAAAAGGATTTAGCCAATAAGAAGGTATTGACTACCAAGAAACTTTTTTACCAGTTATAAAAATAAAGACTGTAAGGACTGTCCTAGCAATAGTTGCTGCTAAACATTAGCACATACATCAAATGGATGTATATAATGCATTTCTTCAAAGGTACCTCTATGATGAAATCTACACGGATTTACCTCAAGGATTTAACAGTAAGGGGGAGAGGAAACTAGTATTTAGACTTATTAAATCCTTGTATGGATTAAAACAAGCACCAATGCAATGTAATTCCAAGATAACTGAGGCTTTACTGAAAGCTCACTTCCATCAGAGTTAATATGATCACTCACTGTTCTTCAAAAAGACATCAGAAGGTATCACTATAGTTTTAGTCTATATTGATGATATGCTTATAACTAGAGATAGCCTAAATCTAATTTTAGACACTAAGACAGGTCTACAACAAGTATTCAAAATGAAAGATTTAGATGAACTCAAATATTTTTTTGGCATTAAGTTTGCAAGATCCAGTCAAAGAATCCTAATGCATCAGTAAAAATATGCACCAGAATTGATTTCGGAATTAGGTCTGGGAGCAGCCAAACCTGCCACAACTCCTTTGGATTTCAACATGAAGTTAAATACCAGAGAGTATGATGAATATGTCAAAAAAGAGAAGGATGTGATCTCAAAAGATGCAGAACTAGTGGATCAGAATCCTTATTAGAAGTTGATTGATAAACTCCTATACTTAACTATGACTCGACCAGACATCTCCTTCAGTGTTCAAACATTTAGCCAATTTTTACAGAAGCCTAAAAAATCTCATATGGAAGCTCTACTCAGAATTGTAAGATATCTAAAGCAACAACCAGGAGAAAGAATTCTTCTGTCCAGCAAATGCAATAATGAAGTTACAACATACTGTGATGCTGATTGGGCAGCCTGCCCTCACTCTAGAAAATCTGTATCTGGTTATTTGATCAAACTTGGTGAGTCATTAGTTACTTGGAAGTCTAAGAAACAAACTACTGTTTCCAGAAGCTCAGCAGAAGCTGAATATAAGAGTCTTGAATCAATAGTAGCAGAGTTAATTTGGCTACTTGGACTACTAAAAGAACTGGGAATTGATGTTAAACACCATGTGAATGTTTAGAGTGACAGGAAGGCAGCTATGCAGATTGCGGCAAATCCAGTTTATCATGAACGTACCAAGCATATCGAAATCGATTGTCATTTCATTAGGGAAAAGATATTGAAAGGCTTGATCACAACAAAATACATTCCTACAAGAGATCAACCAGCTAGTATTCTGACAAAAGGACTTAATCGAGTTCAACATGAATATCTCAATTCCAAGCTAGGAGCTTCGAACATCTTTACACTTCCTAATTTAAGGGGGAGTGTTAAGAAAGGTGTTACATAACTCATTAGAGGGTAGATTAATCATTTCACTATACTCAACCAATTAGAATTAAGTAAGTGGTTAAGTTAGTTAGACAAGTGTTAGTATATATACACATGTGTATGTGCACTTGACAGATAATGCAAAAATAACATTTTCTCATTTTTCATCATCTTCTTCTCTCTTCTGTCTTCTTCCTCTTCTTCTCTACTGGGTATGTACCTTTCTGTTCTTCTTCTTCTTAATACAATTTCACTTTTAGAGGTTACGTTCTAATACAATAGGGGAGGTCAGTATAATTAACAATATAATAAGAGAAAGTTTGTGTACGACGAAGCGCGTTTCGGTAATTATCAGTGATTAAAGTGGTGCTCATTCTGTAAAAATATGTCTTGAAGTTGCCCCTATAGAGACCTAAATTTTTTCTCCTTTCTTCTGTATGTTCCAGCGAATTTTACATTGTTCTCTAATTCTATTTCTCCCACTCCATTTGTTATTCGCTTCTGAGTATCATTTTTCAAATTCTCCATTTGTGGTTTCTTGCCTAGATCTGTTTCATTTGTTAGTTCTAATAAGTTTTCTTTTGCCTTTTCCTTTCTTGCACTGATTTTTGCCCATCGCTTCTGGATTCTCTTTGAAGGTTTGTCCATTTTTCCTACTATTTGCGTAATTTCTTGCTAGATCTTTAACATGCATGTCAATCATTCTATCTGATCTGTACATGTATCTGTGAAAATTGAAATAGATACCTGATACTCTCGGTCTTTGATGTCGTCCATTCTTATTATCTCTCTCCTTCCTTCTGCTCCCGCTTTGTTTCTTCTTGTGAGTTAATTGTTCCTTTATCTACTTCTATTACTTCTTCTTTTTTTGTTTTGTTTTTAATCTATAGTTTTTTGCTTTTAGTTTCTGTAATTTTTTCTTTTTTCTTTTGTTATTTATTGCTCGTAATATGCTTTTCCTTTTGGATTTTCTGGTGATTTTTAATTTCCTGACTACTAAGAAGTAGAAAAGTGAAACATAAATTTAGTTAGTTGAGACATTTGTTGCGGAAGCCAAATATATATAGAGTGATTAAATCACAACTACTATATCTAAAGGCAGCTAATAAATAGTAAATGAGACAATAATAAAAGAACGCCAGAAATTAACGAGGTTCGATAAAATTTGATTTTTGCCTAGTCCTCGGACACAATCAACTCAAACTTTATTTTACTCCAAAAATACAAGTGAAATACTACAAGAGAGAAAGAAGATTCAAATACCTTAGGCGATAAGAAGGCAAGTGAGAGATGTTTTCAAATGAGCGAAACCCTTGCTATTTATCGAAGGGAAATTGCCTTAATTATGTCATGCATGTCATCACATTAAGTGTGATCATGTAATGTAAATGCATAAAAAAAATACATCTACCAATTTCTTCCTAAAATGAGGCTTCAAATATTCACACTAGTTCACATTAATCTTGTCAAATTCAACAAATCTCCACCTTCGCAAGATTTCACTTTTTCAATTTTCTCTTACTGGTAAATTTTGATTGTGTCTTCAACTTTAATCTTCAAAGTTCAACAATGTAGATCAAGTTCAAACAATGTTGAAACTTAATCGCAGTCACTACTTTTGTTAGCATATCAGTAGGGTTGTCTCTAGTCCGAGTTTTCTGCACCATGACTCCACCTTCTTCTATAATATCTCGTATAAAGTGATATCGAACATCAATGTGCTTCGTCCTTCCATGATAAACTTGGTTCTTTTCTAATTGGATTGCACTCTGACTATCACAAAATAGTATGATGCTTTCTTGACCAATATCAAGCTCTCTAAGCAACCCTTGAAGCCAAATTGCCTCCTTTACAGCCTCTGTAATTGCCATGTACTCTGCCTCAGTAGTAGACAAAGCAACCGTTGACTGCAAAGTAGACTTCCAACTAACTGGTGCATTTGTAAAAGTAAAAACATAACCAGTAGTTGATCTATGCTTGTCCAAATCACCCGCATAATATGAGTCACAATATCCAACCAGATATTGAATATCTTCCTGCTCAAAAATTAATCCAACATCTACAATATTACGAATATACCGCAGAATCCATTTTACAACTTTCCAATGCTCCTTTCGTGGATCATGCATTTACCTGCTTACAACTCCGATAGCATGTGAAATATCAAGTCTTGTGCAAACCATTTCATACATTAAGCTACCAATGACATTCTCATATGGTACTCTTGACATATACTCTCGTTCAACTTTATTCTTCGGCGACATAGCATCACTAAGCTTAAAGTGAGGAGCAAGAATAGTGCTAACCAACTTCGTGTTGTCATTCATTCCTAATCGATCATTCCAAATCGATCGATTAATATCTTCATGTATTCTCTATGAGATAGATAGAGTTTCTTTGAATGTCTATCTCTTTTTATCTCCATGCCAAGTATTTTCTTCGCCTCACCCAAATCCTTCATCTCAAACTCTTTTCTCAGTTAAATCATCAACTTCTCAATTTCCTCTTGACTTTTAGAAGCTATCAACATATCATCAACGTATAGGAGAAGATATATGAAGGTTCCGTCTTCATGCTTGTGTAAATACACACAATTATCATATTTTCTTCTTTTATACTTCTGCCGCAACATAAACTTATCAAATCGTTTGTAGCATTGTCTAGAAGATTGTTTTAATCCGTACAATGATTTTTCATGTTTGCACACCATATTTTACTTTCCAACAACTTTGAATCCTTGTGGCTGAGTCATATAGATTTCTTCTTCCAAGTCTCCATGTAAAAATGTAATTTTTACATCTAACTGAACTAGTTCCAAATTCAATTGTGCTACCAAAGCCAACAAAACTCTAATGGAGTAGTGTTTCACGACTGGAGAAAATACCTCATTGTAATTAATTCCCTCCTTTTGAGCGTACCCTTTGGCCACCAATATTGCTTTGTAGCAAACATCTTCTTGGTTAGGAAATCCTTCTTTCTTTGCAAATACCCATTTGCACCCAATTACTTTCTTTCCCTTCGGGAGATTGTCCAATTTCCATATGCGATTATGATGAAGGGACTGCATTTCTTCATTCATGACAATTCTCCACTTATCTGCTTCTAAACTTTGGACTATGTCTTTATAAGTGGTAGAAACACCATCAGCTACTGTCTCTATGAGACAAACATGTGTCTTTATTGTTCTTTTTGGCTTACTGGTTGCTATTGATTCAAGTTGTTGTTGGGGTTCCAGAGTTGGAATCTCCCCTTCCACTGACTCTTCTTCCAGGGGAGAATCTTCTATTTTTTTCTCGTTTTCTTAATTTTCCCTCAAACTTCACCTGCTTTGAAGCACCATCAGTTTGTTTGACATCTTCAACTGTCACCTTATCTGTTATGGCAGATTCATCAAAGGTAACATCTCTGCTGAATATAATATTTTTTGTCTCTGAACACCATAAGCGGTATCCTTTGACTCCAGAAGTAATCCCCATAAATATAGCTTTCTTTGCTCTCGGATCCAATTTTAACTCTTTCACATGATAGTATGCAATTGAGCCAAATACATGCAAAAAATTATAATCTTCAGCAGGTTTTTCATACCATTTTTCAAATGGTGTCTTGCCACCAATAGCAGCAGATGGTAGACGATTAATGAGATGACATGCATATGTTATTGCCTCAGCCCAAAATTCTTTGCCCAAGCCAGCATTGGACAACATACACCGAACCTTCTCCAGCAAAGTCCGGTTCATACGTTCTGCCACTCCATTCTATTATGGTGTATTTATGACGGTAAAATGTATCAAAATGCCATCATATTCACAAATCTTATTGTAAAGATTATTTTTGTATTCTCCACCATTGTTTGTGCGAAGACACTTTATCTTTCTGCCTGTTTGAGTCTCTATTATCGCCTTCCATTTGAGAAAATTCCCAACACCTCATCTTTGGTTTTTATCGTATACACCCACACTCTCCGAAAAAAGTCATCAATAAAGGTTACAAAATAGTGTTTTCCACCTAATGAAGGTGTTTTAGAAGCACCCCAAACATCAGAGTGAACATAATCTAAAATACTTTTAGTATTATGGATTGCTGTTCCAAATTTAACCCTTGTTTGTTTCCACTTGACACAATACTCACAAAACTCCAAATTTCAAGTCTATACTCCTTTTAACAATCCTTGATGTGATAAATTTTTCAAGGATTTTCCTCCACATGTCCCAAGCACATGTGCCATAGCTTGGTTGCTTCTGCCTCTTTGGTATCACTGGATATCACTGTTGCTGTCCCAATAACTGTATTACTGTGATAATAGTACATGTTATTCTTTCGCCGAATTCCCTTCATTACCACTAGTGCACCAGAGTATATTCTCATTACCCCATTTTATGCAATGACTTTGAGCCCCTTTGACTCTAGGGCTCCTATAAAAATGAGAATTTTCTTCAATTCCAGTATGTATCGAACATCTGTTAATGTTCTGATCAATCCATCATGGTTCCTTAATTGAATTGAACCAATACCATATGCGGTAAAAGGATTATCATTTGCGATGTGAATAACTCCACATTCTCCTTCTTGAAAATCAACGAACCAGTCCCTGTTGGGACACATATGATAGCTACAACATGAATCCATCAGCCATATGTCAGATGGTTTGAATGGCTCAATTGTAACTAGTGAGAAATCAGACTCGTCACAATCAGCTACATTTGAATCCATGACAACCTTCCCATTGTTAGGTTTGGCCTTGTTTTTCAA